ACGAGTGCGGATCGCGGAATCCCAGCATCTACATTGCTGCATCTCCAGGTTTGCCAACTATCAAGGTTAAGTTCTGCAGTCCCCTCAAACCATGTTGTCCGTCACGGTTTTAACGAAAGCAAAATGGAATAGTAGGATGAGTTCGCGATGGATAACGGGCGGCGGCACAGCCCACACTCCAGCCTCTGTGCATAACTCTTCAAGAAAAGGGGATCACAGTCTTGCCGCCAAAACAGAAGAAATGCTCGTGTGGAAACTGGTGTCTCATAGAAAAGATCAGCAATACGATTCACCTCTTCACACAGGTACTCGTCGACGAACCCTGTACTCGCGAGCAGAATCAATACCCTCTGCCGACATTATGGCTCGCTTGAACCCATATGCTGAACAGCACAAGCTTGAAAACCTGGCCGGCCCCGGCGATCCTCGCCCAACGGCCCTTCAAATCCTCTAGAACCAGGGGCTCCTCGGCGTATGGCCTGGTCAGGTCGCCATTGCAACTGGGTGCAGTCCTAGAGACATCGGCGTCGCTCCAGCGCGTGCCCTACACGCCACTGGCGCTGACGTCTTCATTGGCGTTTGTGATGTGCAAAGAGTATAAGAGCTGCCAGATCTATCTTGTCGGACGGTAGGCCTGGCAAAGTTGAGGTTTTGCAGATCGACCTCGGATCGCGGGCTAGGTACCTTGGCATCAAGAAGGCAGCAGAAGACTTTCTCTCGCAGAGCGATAAGCTTCATCTTCTCATCAACAATGTCGGTGTACAGTATTTTCACAACAAAAATACTCTTCTGATGGCAGCGAGATGAACGAATGTTGAATACAATCTAATATGGACGTTTTTGCTTCACGAGCAGCCTCTCATCTCCCTCTGATCTGCTCGCGCTTGTCGTCTTTCCGTGAAGCCCCTCTGTGCATCCTGTGCGTGGGGAAGTTTTCGGTGGAGAAACTCGGTGAAGCTTGGACCCTTGCAAACCTTCCAAGCTTTATTCCCATCCCATCGCCTGCCTTCCTCATTCTGCGTCCGACACACATCCTGTGCCAACCACCCCCAAACCCGTCGCAGCCATGTCCGTCACCCTACACACCACCTTGGGAGACCTCAAGATCGAGATCTTCTGCGAGAGCGTGCCCAAGACCGCAGAGGTAAGCTTTCTTTCCGAGCTTCGCAGTGCAGCGAGGCCTCGCCCAGATTCCTCCAGCTCACCCAACATGCCTAGAACTTCCTCGCCCTCTGCGCCTCGGGCTACTACGATGCCTCCCCCCTCCACCGCTTGATACCGAACTTCATGGTTCAGACCGGCGGGCCTGCGAACCCCTCACCGCCCGACAACCCCAAAGGCGGCCGCTCCATCTGGGGCGGCACCTTTGAAGACGAGATCCGGCCTGCGCTGCGTCACTCGGCGCGCGGCACCATCTCCATGGCCACAGGGCCCTGCACGAACGGCTCCCAGTTCTTTCATCCTCTTCGACAGGCGCCGCACCTCGAC